CGGGTTTTTCCCCCCCCCGGCTTTTAAAAACGGGCGCCGGGAATTTTTATTCCACCCCTTTTTGGGGGAATTGGGGCCCTTAAAAACAATCCTGGGGGGCCCCCCAGTGGGGGAAAAATTCCCCGGGGGGAACCCCCCCCCGGGAAAACCCACAAACCCCCAGGGGGGGGGCGGGTTTTCCGGGGGGGGAAGGGGGGGGGTTTTGGGGTTTTTGGGTTTTGAAAGGGCCCCCCCCCGCCGGGGCTTTTTTGTGTAAATTTGGGGGGGGGGTTTTTTTGGTTTACCCCCGGGGGGGGTTGGCCCGGACCGAAAGGGGGGGGGGGGGGGGGGGGCGGGGGGGGGGCGTGGCGGGTGTATGTGTGTGTGTGATCCTCTCTCGGTGAAGAAGCCGTCACCGGCACCAAGAACGTGTTGTGGCTGCCCCCCGGCGGGACGCAGGCGAGTCACTGCTTTTCGGGAGAGATGCGCATGATGACTGCCGAGAGACGCGCATGATGAGTGGGGAGAGGTGCGCAAGATGAGTGGCAACAGATAGGCTGCCCGCGCCGCAGGGTGTGGGCTCGCACGTGGCGCATGATGCTCACAGGAAGTTTAGGCGTAAAGGACACTGACCCAGTGTTTCTGTGGTGACGCAGTGGAGTGTACGATTTACGAATGATATCCATATGGTTAAAAACAGGTGATTAATTGTTGTTTATTGTGCAGGTCACGCTAAAGCCCACTTGCGGCCTATGTAATTTAACTTCTGATTAGGATAGCAGCGAGGCGACCTACGTAGCAGCGAGGCGATAGTTTCTCCCCGCAAGTCTCGAACTCGCTCGCCAGCCAGACGGACGGACGGTACGTATTTTAGGTGGTGTACAGTATGTGTAATTGTTGGAATGAAACGCATACGGCCCTTGGGAAAACCTTCTGCCCCCTCGCCTACGGGAGAAGTTTTCAAGTCGTCCTTGTCTTCGATCGACTTCTTCGTTGTGTCTCGGTGATTGCAGTATCTACCACTTGGGTACTGGTGGCGATTGTACGTACACCCTTGACGATTCAACCCCTTTGGTTTGTTGAGCTATTCTTAGTTGTACGGTGTTTAGTAGTGTCCGTCCCTGTAGATATCACGCGACGAGCCTTTTCGGCGTTTGTCTCTTTAGTACGTGTGCCTCGAGCCGAATTAGATGTGGTTCCGCGCTTGATGGGCAAGAAGTAACCGTGGAGACGCGCCAAACCACCGCCGAGGTGTTGCTCTGTAATATAATCCGGTGGGTATGCCCCAACGTACACCGCAAGGTGCATTTGCTCCTTCCGTTCGTTGGGGAAAGACAGAACTTGTTGGAGAGCACAAACTCCCTTGACGCGTAGGTTTGAGCGCGCCAGGATCCAAGGCAGAACACGAACGACACGTCCGAACGTTTTTGTACACGGTGAAAAAAAACACGGCGGCTGTACACGTAGTCTACAATCGTGGCCTCCCTTGCTTGCCATCACGAAAGCGTGCTACTGTGTACAACCCAACAAGGGCCGCAGAGGGAAGGGAATATGTTGTTTTCCCCCCGCCATTTCTCTTCGCCTGTTGCGAGCAAAAGCCACAGGTACATGTATGACGCTGCTTGAAAAATGTCACAGTACGCTTGACCGTGGTGGCCTCGACCATCTTGCGTCCATGGGGGGTCCCTCCCCGCGAAAAGAACACTATTGCAGCTTGGTACTATGGCAACGTCGACTTGCCTAATGCAGTCAGCACACTTTGGTACCTGACTTGTGCACGGGTGTGCTAAAAGTAGCCAGCACACGGTACCTGACTTGCGCGCTCATGTGCACGCGCTAAACGATCTCGCTCGGTTGCGCGCTCGATGAGTTGCGTCAAGGGCGACAGTTGTCGCGGAGTGCGTTGTCGTTGTGGGGGGCACAAAACAGCGGCCAACAGCGAACGACGTTCTTCGGAAACGCCCACAGCAGTAGTAGCAGGCATGCGGCTGCTTTCTTCTGCTCTTGCATATACAAAGGCTGTAGAGAGAGACCTTCTGGTCTTATTTGACGGGGCTCCTGGCTGCTGCATGTTTCCAAACAAACCCCGTTTACCTACTAGCAGGTGAAGCTGAGCCGAAAGTCTCGCTGTGAATTAGTTATCCCACGGTGTTGCGATTGAAAACCGGGTTCCGCCGCCCATGTTATCTGTGCGTCGCCCGCGGCTGGGAACACCTACCTACCTAAGGCGTTACTCTCCCATGGCTCACCCGAGCTTTTCCTCATCATCGATCCACTGCACTCGCGGCTGACGACCCAATGACTGTGGGCGGGGGCATTCAGTTCCCTCCCGGGTTCGCCAACACCTGTGTGAAACCTCTTTATGTCGGGCGTGTCCCTGGCGTGCAGAACCTAGATCGTGATATTGCGCAACCCTGGCTCTTTGTTGATCAGCGCGGGATCCCAATAGAAACATGTACACACACGCATCGTTCCCTCGCGTAAGGAACCAAACCGTTAAGAGCAACCCACTTTTGTATGCCGCACATATTCTATTTCTTAGAATCGTGGTTGTTCGTTGTCTCAAATCTTCGCCCAAGCCCGCGACTACTCGATAATGCGAAGCATGCACACCGCTGTGCTCTGGACATCCAAGCGGTGCAGCAGAGGTGGCTCGCTCGTGGGGGCATACCATGTGCCCCAAGCCCCCCGTGCGCGATTCCCCCCTCCTCTGCTCCTTCTCATCATCATCGTCGTCACATCTCTTCCTCCCCCCCCCCC